TATTAATTGTAACGTATTGCTCTACATACGTTTTTTCTACTCAGTGTATGTAAATTTTATTGCCATTTTTACCAAACTGTCTCGTGGAGAAGTTCATTTTTTCTAAAGTTTGTAGCTGGGGCTTCCGGTCAAGATGGCAGAATAGACAGTCCGTAGCATCACTCTCTCCGAAAAATCAACCAATTTACAATGGTTAAAAAGCAATGGCAGCCAANAATCACACCTCAATAGATATAAGAGAATTCACACTGAAGAAAGTCCCTATGAATGTAATGAATGTGGAAAAACCTTTCCCTGTAAGTCAAACCTCCATGCACATCAGAGAACTCACACAGGTGAGAAACCATATGACTGTAAGGAACGTGGTAAATCTTTCTTCTACAAATCACACCTCAATAGATATAAGAGAATTCACACTGAAGAAAGTCCCTATGAATGTAACGAGTGTGGGAATACCTGTCCCTGTAAGTCAAACCTCCATGCACATCAGAGAACTCACACACGTGAGAAATCATATGAATGTAAGGAATGTAGAAAATCTTTCTTCTATAAATCACACCTCAATAGACATAAGAAAATTCACAGATAAGAAATGAATGTGAGTGTGGAAAAGCCTTTCACTGTAAGTTAAACCTCAGTACACACCAGAGAATTCACATAGGTGAGAAGTCATATAAATGTAACACATGTAGAAAATCTTTATACCACAAGTCAAATGTCAGTAGACATGAGAATATTCACATAGGCAAAGACCCATGGATTTAATGTATGTGAAAATACTTTCCCCTAGAAATCACACCTGAGGAGCATCAGGGAAGACACACAAAAGTGAAGCCTTATAAATGTACAGCTGTTTTTTGGTTACCACAGGGGATTGGTTCCAGGACTTCTCAGTCATACCAAAGTCTGTGAATGCTTAAGTCTGTTATATAGTGTGGCATAGTATTTTTGTAACATTCTGCTGTTTAATTAACATGTCCAGTTTACTTATAATATTAAATAAAATGCAAGAACTATATGAATAGTTGTNTACTTATAATACTAAATAAAATGCAAAAACTATATGAATAGTTGTTAGGGTGTGTTATTTGAATAATTTTTATTGTAGTATTATTTTTATCTGTTTTCACACATTTTAAATCAGCAGTTGGTTGAATTCTTGGATGTAAATCATGTGGATGTGGAAGGCCAACTAACAAGTGTGGAAGCCTCTTCTGTCAAAAGTCACACCTCAGCAGACATCTGAGAAGTCACACGGGAGATATTCTGTATGGCAGAGACTAGCTATGTATTATGCAAAAATACTCTCCTTTCTTTTCCACACTTAGCATGCATATTCAGCCTCTTATTGTGTGCATGACTATGTAACTGAGCTCTCTATCCAGAGGAATAGGGACACAAGTGATGAACATTANTATGAATATTTAAATTCAGACTGTATTCATGTTTTTTCACTTAAAACTGAATACTTGAAATTAGGTAATTTATGAGGGAAAAAATATTGCTTACAATTCTGTAAGCCATGAAGTCCAAAATAGAGGATTTGCATCTACTGAGGACCTTCCAATGGGTAGGGACTCTCAGTAGATTCCAGGGTTGCTACAGAATATCACAAGGTGGTGACAGTGACAAAAGCATGTTCACATGCTTTCTTTCTCCTCTTATAAAGCCACCAGTCTAATAACTGATAATCCCCATTAAACAACAAGCCCACTAATCCATGGGCTTTTATTAGTCCATATATTAATCCACTTATGGGAGCAGAGCCCTCACTATTTAATCACCTCACAAAGGACTCACCTTTCAAATACCACAGTTGGATTTCCCACACTCAGCATGTCACAATGATGACCAAGCTTCAATAAGAACTTCAGGGGTGGGGGGCAGTACCTGAACTATAGCACAGACATTTATTCATACACTTATTTTTTAACCACATCTTGAGGGCATTTTAAGCACTTTTAATTGTGTAGTTGTATTTACAGCAAGAGTTAACAAAATAGCATCCTTCTTTCATACAGTTTGCATTCTGATGAGAGAGAAATGTGTGTGTGTGTGTGTGTGTGTATGTTAAGTAGTTATATTAGAATCATGAGGAATATTGAACCAGAGTGAGAGGTTTAGAAAATATGTTTGGAGAAGGAAGATTATTGAGTGCTTAACTTTTACATACTGTCAGTTTGACTTAACTCTTTTCAAAAATTTGACATATAATATATAGATGAATATAAAATGTCAATTTGAGAGTGGACATCATTCTTGGAGGTACACACTTGGAAATCAGTGGCTTAAAGCTGATTTTAAAAGTCATGCTTATAGAGAAATTCACCTAGGGAGTAGATAAGAAAAAGAAAATGCTCTAGAGGTGAGCCTTGTGTACTACCATATGAGAAATTATAAAGCTAAGGAGGACCCAGCATAGGAGCATAGAAAGTGTTAGTC